TCCCAATGCAGTGCGGAGATAGACTGTCGAACAAGTTCATTTCTCTCCCTGAGGGGTTGCTCTGACCAGAAGGGCCACATAGGCGCATGAGACGCTCAATTATGGCCGATATGACTTTAGGGACCCCCGACTCTCTGCAGTGAAGGAGAGATGAAGGAGGGGGGGGGGGGGGCTTGGGGCGTTATAACATTGTCAATAAAAGGCGGTCGGGTCCTTGCTTTAGTTGAGAAATTGTTCACTCTTTGAGAAATTGTAAAGCACAGAAATCAAAAATGTGGAACATGCATTACCACAATTTACATTCAAATGGATTCCTGAAAGCTCAATTTTACTGTATTAAAACATAAACCAAATATAAATAAGCATTGAGCTCTTAAGCTTTTTTCTCAGTCTTTGTGCATCAAGCAAACCAATCAAAATTGGGACGAAAGGGAATAAAATGTCATGTGAGTTTGACTCACCTACCTTAAAGTCTTGGAGGTTCTTGGGCTCCTTCCTTTGGATGTTCAGTTTGTGTGACATTAACATTCTAGCAGTTTGTTTACATTATCTCTTTGGAAGGAGTCAGATGTTTTCTCAGCTGTGTTTGGGGCTATTTTTCTCCATCGATTCTCCATCCAAATGTCCTTCAGCTCTGTGAAATCTGCCAGTAAGACCCAGATCATCACGCTCCCACCTGCAAACTTCCCTTATGGCACTGTGATTTGGGGTCAGAGTTCAGAAGAACCATTTTTCAAGACACAATACCTTCGAGAATAATCCAACGTATTCAAACAAACATCATTCAACCAGATATTAGACGTGTGATTTCAAAAATAAAAGGTTTGTCTGATCCCAATTTCTTGCATTGCTGATTATCCTGTTTTTTTTAAGAAGCTATAAAAACTGTAACTTTAGTTAACATCAGCTGTTTACTCAACATTATATTATCTCTACTTGCAGCTAGAAAAAAATGGTCAACATTCACACTTTGACTAAGGAAATTGTTATTATGTGAATATGGACAGGAGAAATGTTTAATACAGCCTTAAACAAAATTGTTATTTCAAATCCGATTGGTTTTCAGTGAACATCTTATTGAGTGGATGTGCAATGCATGGTCAGATGATAAAAATCGACGGATTAGAACGAAGGAAATTATAAATAATTTACAAAAGTCCTTTTTAACTCCCAAACGTTCAGGGTTTTTTTAACCAAATGGTTCATTTCCCTTTAAACATCACATGCCTTTTATTCATTAAATTAATGTATAACGAGAAATGTACAAATAATTTCCTATTTACAACAGGAATATTTCCATGATAGAAATAAGAAATTGTTTCGATTGCTTCAAGTTTTTGAATGTTGGGTAAAACATTTGAAAGCTTTAATGTTTTTGAATGTGTTTTTTTCCCTCCACTGTTTTCAAGAAATTGTTCATTGAGTAAAACAGCTTTGGGTTTGAAATCCTGATTCAAAGTCAAAATAGTGACTGTGTGTGCCAGACGTGAAAACACAGAAATGCGTGACAGGCTAGCTGGGTAACGATTTGGTCCATAAATGAGAACTACTCTCTCCTGCCTCATTCCCCAGCCGACCACCTCGCCCGCCTCTCCTCCCCCCTGCATCCTTTCCTGTCGTACTCCACACCTGCAGCCTGAGATGGGAATAGCAGAGCCCGGCGTCTGCATCCCTAGAGGCAAGGCGGCAGGGGAGCATGATGGCTGAGGCTCAGTGCCTCCACCGCACATGCTTGCTTCATGGGTTCTAATATTCATTTTTATTTGCATCAGAAGATATACATCTACTAGTTTTGGTTCTAAAACTTACCTTTGTTTATTTCGGATTTTTTTTTCCAGGTAGACCCACTTTAGAGTTTAGCCATCAGGCTCCACAGGTGCTGCGTGAGAGCGGAGCTGTAACCGTGAAGTCCCCTGGTTCTCCCTCAGTGTCCACACACGACAAAGTCCTGCTGCAGATGGCCGACTCTGTCTGTGGCTCAGATGCCCGTCCGCTCTCCCTCGGCCGCTTGGTCCTTTCCTTACCTTTCTCAGGATATGAATTTAGTTTATCTCCTGAAATTGAATGACACATAAAACTTCACTTCAGTACACACACAAACATGACCCTCCTGTTAATTCCCAGAGTGTTTGAGTGTGACAGTGGGGGGAAAGTGGGTTTCGTCCATCTGTCATACTGGAAATCCTCTGAGAGAAGCCAGACAAACTGCGCGCAGGCTACAGCAGTGTGCAGATACGACCGCGCTCAATAAAAAAAAAAGTATCGCAGAAGTATTTATGCCCCTCAAACTGTTAAGGGAATTTATATGAGTTTATATGATAAACATAAAACAGAAGGAAAATAAAAAAAATTTCCACACATTGAAAGTGAAAATTTACATTTATATCCGCCTCTCTTTACTGTGACACCTCTTAATATGTAAAATATAAGCAAACACTGCAGTGGCACCATCAGGCAGAGGGGATTATTTTCTAGCTTCAAGGATTCTGGTGAGATTTCATTGGAGCAATGCATCATCTATTGTTGGAAAAACAATAGATGATGACCGTCCACTTGAACCGACAATGACAGACTAAGCAGACGAGAGGCTCATAGCAACTCTGGAGGAGCTGCACAGGTCCACAGCCCAGGTGGGACAATTTGTTGACACGGCAATCATTTGTTATGCTTTCCACAAACTTGGTCTTTATGGAAAAGAGAGATATGTTGACAACATCGTCAACACTCAAGTCAGGGACACAGCAACACGGGGAAGCGGACTGCGTTTGAGATGATAGGAAGACTGCAGCAGAGACTGACGACAAGGGTTGTCCAACTCCAGTCCATAACAATCCTGCACGTTTTTAGATGCATCCCTGCTCCAGGAAAGTCAATGTAATGCTTTAATTTCCTTCTGAGTATGTGGTGAAGTTATGCAAAGGCCTGGTAATGAGCGATAATTTGCTTCAGGGAAACATGCGGAACCCTGAGGACTGACTTTAGAGTTGCATCTGATTAATAACTGGAACGTCGACCAATATATTTGATGGTTATTTGCTTGATGATTATTGTGACGGCATTTGACAAAATGTAATGTTTATTCTTTCTTCATAAATAGTTTCTACGTTATATTTTTATGATGTAAAAGACTTCAGGCTTCCTTGTTGCTGAAATGAGCTATGCAGATAAACTTAACTTGACTTTGAGGTTTAAATGTTTCACAAAAAGAAAGAGGCAAAACATGTTGCCTCCAACCTTCGTCTCGTACCCCATAAACTCATGCAATATTTTCCGTTAAGCTGTTAAAATACATTTAGACCTGAAGCTGTAACATCACAAACTACGGTAAAGCTTACAGGAGCACGAAAACATTTCCAAAGGCTCTGTAAGCAGTCGAGGATATGCTGCATGAGCAGCAGTTTGAAAGGTTTTTGCAACACAAGAGCGGCAGCCTCGAATGACAGTGCGAAGGCCATCTCAGCAGACCAATCGCATCTCTCTCCGTCTCCCCGCATATGTCTGCATCCACTGGTGAGAGCAATGACAATATGGTCAGCTCAGCCAAATTGTTTGGAAAGCTCACAAAACAGCGGCAGAGAATGAACGTTACTCTGTATTTCATGGTCTCTCATCAACTTTAGAAATGGCCAGCATCTAAGCCAAACTTGAACCAGCCTCCAGCCAAGCGCCGACCCTGGGGAGACAGAGGTGATGTTGACCATGTGTCCCTCCACTAACCATCTCATTGAAGGCCCCCCGACTCCTGGGTTAAACTGACACCCTCCTTTGTGATCACCCCTGAAAACCCTCTTAACCCTTTCCTAAACCCTCTGCGAGCCCCCCTGTTGTGCGTGCTCATTGGATGACCGCCTTCAGGCGTCCCTGTTCCACGGCTCCATTGTCTGGCCCCATAAGCAGCTTTGTTTCTGCATGTGCAGCTGGGATAGCCCCGCTCAGCCATTAGCCACAACACGCTAAAAAAAAGAGTGCGGGATAATATAATTACAAAACAAAAGTCAGGTGGTTCACGAGATCTGCAGGGAGAAAACCCGTTGGGGGAGATGCGAGGACACGCTGGCGGGTGGCCAGCTATAATTTGATTATAAAGTTGTGTGAGCGACAAAGGACACAATTGAATCTTTTTTTTTTTTTTTCCTTTTTTTTACCACTCCATGATTTAATTTGATTCCATTGGGGCTCTAAAAGGAGTCTAGTGTGAAAAGAGAGAAGATTTACTCTTCCAATTTCCAGCCACCAGCTCAGAAAATGTAATATGCTCTGACAAAATATCGAAACCGACTTTATTGTCCTGCTGCCTGTGAGGCCCGAACGGCTGAATCACCGCTGGCTTGAGTTTTCCTCCAAAATAACTGCTCTCGTGCTCTTTTTCTTTTTTATTTTGCGTGAATGCACACAGACCGGCGGACAATAGGATCAGTGGCAGATCCATCTCCTGTAATACTTTCTTTAAACAGGCCAGCAAGTGTGTCCCCCTGTTCTGTCGGCAGACCAGAATTTATCCTGTTAGTCACCCTAGATGAGTGAAAGAGCAAAATCAACCCCCAGTCCAGCTGGTCATGCACACAAAGATGCAGCCATTCACACACACACACACACACACACACACACGCACACACACACAGCTTCATGGACAGCTGATAAGAACAGGTTTGCGCTGGTGCTACTGTTCAGAGCAGGTCAAGCAGAATAAAATCTGTTAATGTCTTTTTGTCTCTTCATTTCATAGCACAAGTACAGCTTTTTTTTATGCTTTTGTTTTGCTCTTACATAAGACAATGAGAAGCTGCACAATACGCACATGCCCCTGCCACTGCAGGGCTGGTGTCAGCTTTGTGCCCTCTCTGGGTGTGTAAACGCCCATTTTTTGCCCCATTAGGCACTGAGAGATTGTAACACTGGGAGAGAACCGCATTCTCATGCAGCCCTGAGCTGCTCTAGAAAGGGTTTTGCTGCAGATTTATTCTCACACTGCGCATCAGAAAAACATAAGGAAGGCATAAGGATTTTCAGATTATTTTTGTTGCTTTATTGCAGCATGTAGAGAACGAAATGGTAACGCTGTGGTAATTTCCACTTCTGTTCTTTTCTCTTTACATTGATACAGGATAGGCTGAGGCGATGTACTTCTTTCCATTTCCATAGGAAGAGTTATCCCAGGTGTAAGTTTGTATGATGAGCTGTTTTCCTCCCAGACTGAGGTAACAACTGAGAAGGAAGAATATGAAAACCATCAGAAAATGTCCACATGTAAAGAAATTATGGATTTTCTATGATGTTTTATATATATATATATATTTTGTTGTATTTTAACTGGATGAACAAAATTTCTTAGATAATCTTAATGCAGCTTATAAAGGAGCCCAAAATACTTTCAAATAATGAATTTAGTTTTCTCACATCCTAAAATGACTCCGTGCTTTTCTGGTACAACTGGTTCTGATATCTGCATTTTCACCTCACTGGTACTGAATCTTGGAAAATTCCTAATACCAGTCAATTTCTTACACATCTTGTCCATTTTAAGGAGATTTTATGTGATAAACAAACACAATTATACCTTCACAATTTCACAGCGAGTTTGTGTTAGTTAATCAAACAAAATCCCAGTAAAACATAAAGTTTCTGGCTGATAAATTATAAAATGTAGTCGAGTCTGAAGGATACCGATGTGTTTGCAAAGCTACTCACTATTTCCCAGGCCGAGCAATGTAGCAAAGGCTGTAGAGGGCCAAATCAAACTCAGGGCTGCAGCCAATCACTGCAGAGCCCACCTGCTTGTAGTAGCCGTCCCAGTGGAATTGCAGTCCCAAAACATCAGGATAGTTAGACCACTGCAAGGAAAAGAAATGGACAGATTTCTGTTTAGCATGTGACACGCAGCTTAACTCAGTCACTGTCAGTGGAGGAGGGAGGATGCTCACAGGCCCGTTGAAGCTGTGGCTGTAGTAGTTCAGCTCCCCTCGCTTCTCAAGAAGATAAAACCGGATCCAGTTGTGGAAACCAGACACCTTTCCTCCCTTGATTTCACCTGCAGATATTTTACTTTAGTTTTTATTTTTTTTAAATTGATTTTTAAATGAAATGTGACTGCAGCATTCCAATGAGGTCTGCTTCATTCAAACCTGCAAAGATGTGTTCAAAACCGCTGGAGTCCATAGCGCCGTTGTAGCGGGAGTAGAGACCAAACCACATGTTCTTCAGGTCCTCAATGAACTCTGCCTCTGATTTATAAACACCTTCAAATGCAAAGAGACCCCAGGTGTCATGGAAACCGTATCATGACATTTTTAAAAACAGAATTAGTTGATTAATTAGAGATCAGACTGTGAAGGAAGAGAGCCAAGCAAAAGTGTTCGTAATGTTTAAGCATTTTTAACATGACGATCATTAATCCCAGTGTGTCTAATTGAACTTAGTTTATTTACCTCAAAGCTCCAACATCGAACCATGGTACCACATGGAGACGCAGGGCTGCGTCCTTAATAGCAGATTTACTTGTGGAAAATGGAGAGCGGCAGAGATACCAGCAGCTTGTAGCCCGGTGCGGCTTATATATGTATGTTTCCAGTTGTTGTTTTTTTTTTTTTAAACTTTGTGGGCGGCGCTTATAAGGAAGGTGCGCTCTATAGTTCGGAAAATATGGTACTTCTGCAAGGTACTGTAATTTAAGACCACATTACCCTTGGTGTAAAGGAAAGCAAACAGCTCTCTGCCCAGCTCGGTGTTCAACATCGTCTCCTTCAGGAACGTCTCCTGCTCAGTCAGCTGCTGAGAGGTGAAGCTCTCCGCCTGTCCGGTGATCCTCTTGTAGTTGTCGAAAAGATTCAGAAGGGCTGCATAGGTTGGGCGGGTGAACAGGGCGTTTTCATCCACGAACTTGTACAACCTGAGAGCACAAAAAGCAAAACAGCTACACTTCAAAACACAGAGATCTCCAGAAGGTCTTCTACGGGTTCGCTGAGATGCATAAAGGTCCTCACGGTCTGGAGGAGAGATCCGACTTGGAGCTGGTCTGTGAGTCGGCCACCAGGGCTTGGGGGTCAAGGATCAGCTCAGAGGCCGAGGCCTTGTTGGTGTCCAGGGCAAAAAGCGTCTCAGACAGAGACTTGATCTCAGCGTCAGTGATGGTAGCACCAGAATCACCAGCTGGACACGACAAACACAAAAGTTATCACTTTCATTATTTATCCAGCTGCTTTTAAACAGATAAATCCTCAAAACTCCAGAAAATTTAGATGAATGTTATTTTTATTCAATTAAAATGTTTCTGATATAAAATGAGATGGGCAAAAGATAATAATATCCTACATAAGGGGTACAATTATTACATAGAATCATTTATGTGTTTTTATTTGCATTTTGACCAAAAACAACAACATGTCAGATGTTACTTAAACTGTTCTCAGTTATTAATAAGTCTTTATTGGTTTTGCAGTAATCTAGTGCTTCTAATATTTGCTGACAAGTTTTTGCATTTTTCCACTGGTATATATCCCTTCATTCTTTACAATTAGCCCCGAGTATTTGCCATCACATCTAAATCTACCATGGGGTATAAACAATTTGGTCACCCTTTCAAACAAAATAGGTCACTGTAAGGTTCACATAATGATACAAATGATTAAGTATTTTTGGGTAACTGAGGGAAATGTTTGAGTTTTGGAAAGGAAAATATTGTCTTTCAAAGGTAAAGTTATTGTCTATAGAGTAATAGGAGTTTTTTTGTTTTTTTTCACTCGGGCCAAAATTGCTAAGTCAATGACCACTATTGCACTTTTTTAAAATTGAAAATATAAAAATGATTTATTCTAAAAGCTTAATTTTCTCTTACTCAACAATTAGTCTCAAAACAATTTTAACTCACACAAAGTGTCCCAAGAAAAAGAATCCAAAAAGTAATAATTGTGGAGCTGAACTTTAATAAAGGCTTTGTATACTTGAATTTTTTTAAAGAAAGGCATATTGTGTTAAAATGTTTTGGGTCTGCTACTATAAAAAGTTTTCAGTTTATTTTTTTATCGCACTTTCGACAAGAACGACATGTTGAACAGGTAAAGACAACAAGGTGAATTTAGAGTTCAAAGAAGGCTGAACACTGACCCCTACTGGTCAGTTCTGAGTAAAACGAATAAAGCGCTCTGGGGAAATAGTCATACAAATAATGGTGGAAAAAAAAACAATGTGGATACACAAGTTATTGGAGATAAAAACAAGTATTTGTCCTATCAACTAACTTTAAGGATTTTCTTTCTATTCTGGAGAAATTTCACTTCACTCTTACCTACATTGTTGTGCATATTTCATCATAAATCAAGTCAACAACGACCCAAAGCATATCAGCATATTATATTTATTTAGGTTAATATTTTTTTTGACCTGCAATATTTAAATTTGACAAAAAAATTGCTAACTATGTAAGAAAGTATATACTTTTTCACACTAATATATTCATCTTTTTTTTTTTTGCAGGAACAGATGGTCCTTTTTTCATGTCCTAATTTCTAGGGTATGTTATGGGAAGTAAGCATTAATTCTCTGTAAAGCCTAAGCACCAACCTTTTAGTTTCCACTAATTTGTACTTTAATAGCTTTTTAGGGTACTCAAAGGTGCTCACCTTAATCTTAACTTTGCAAACTGTAAATAAAAAGCGCCACTAAATGATCTACATCTGATATTTTTCCCAAATTTCCCCCCTAAACTGAAAAACTTTGTCTTGCAGTTTTGTGCAATAGATGTTGAGTCTCCATGTATCTGCTATGATGATCTGCTAAAAAAGCATCTTGCAGTTGACAGATGAAATAAAAATACTACGAGGCATGTGCTCTGAACAGCAAATCAAAAATGTACCAACAAACTGCTGAGGAACAGGTTTAGATGAAGTCATGGGAAAACAACCAGGTGTTACAGAGAGACAGAAACTGATCGAGTAAAGGCAGCAAAGAGCCTTTAACAGCGAGGAGAAACACTGCTGGTCTTACTTGAACAGTAGTCTGAATAGTCGCTGCAGCAGTTGTTGTACTGGGAGCACTTGGAGTTGCAGTGGCATGGGTTCTGAGCATTGTAGCTTTCATCACACCTGCCATTACAAGATGTGGGTCCAGCTACAGCTAAAAGAAAGTTTCATATTTTTATTTACATATTTGTCAGTAATGGGAAAATACAGTTCCCACATTTTACATCTATTTCAACGCAGTCTTTATAATTCAGAGCTGTAAAAATGGGTAAGTTTAGATATATCTGTGTAAAAAGATGAGAAAGTCTAAATTTTTTATGTTGAATTAACTTAAAATAAGTAATTTATTAAATGATCGAGTAGGCTCTTTTGAACTTCACTGCTAAACGTAAGAAAAATTAGACTCAGTAGAGTTGTCTTTATTCTCCGAATAGCGTTTTACAGTGTATATAAATCTGTTAAACCAGCCACTTGTTCTATGAGAAAACTAAGAAAGATATGTGCCAAAACAACACAGCTGAATTTACTTAAAAACAGGGTACATTTACAAGACAGGGAAACAATTTAATTAGTTTAGGTGCAATAACTTGTTTAAACGCAGAGTAATACACTGAGCTTCCTAAATGTGAAACTTAGCAAGTGTGAAAAATAAATCACAAAAGCACTCCCATAAAAATAAACAAATGACTAACTTCTGATGGGATCATGTGGAGTGGGAAGTGTTAAGAAGCAGCTGAAGTGTTGTTGGTTTTACCATTACAGAGGGTGGAGTAGTCGCTGCAGCAGTTGTTGTACTGGGAGCACAGGGAGTTGCAGTGGCACGGGTTCTGAGAGTTGTAGCTTTCACCACACCTTCCATTACAAGACAGAGCCGCCTCTGGGAGCAGAGGAAAGGTTCGCACAGACAGGCACGTGCAGAGGGGGGGGTTAGGGGGGCTTGAGCACCTGCCCCTTTTGCTCCTTGCCAAGTGCCCTTTTGTTT